CGGCTGCATACTCACCCCCACGCCCCCAGCTGCAGAGACCACTGCTCGCTGAGTGGTCCTCATGCCCGGTTCTCGATTACTGACACATTTACAAAGCAGCCTGTTAAAGAAAAGCAGCAACATAAATCAAACTATATATTACTAATGAAAAGGCACCAGCATCCTGCTGTGCATTGTGCCCCCTGTAGTGACATCACCACTTTATTAGAATCATTTTCAGTTTCTGAAAATCTTACATATATCTTAGATATTTTTTTCATACACAACCAGACATGTTTTGAAAAATTAGACATTGTGACAGAGTTTTGATGTCATATCATATGTAAATATATGGTGACCCGACAATCCATGTCAGGAGGACACTTTGAGCTGCTTCAGGTTTTCCAAACTACCTTAAAACCAAAAGGCTCCTGTGTTTGGCTGAATAGTTCAGTTCTTCTTGTGTTTTGACTACTTTGTTTCTTTTCATTGACTCAGACAACTGCTTCACATTTACATTATTGACACATGAATGATTACAAGAGACTAACCAATCAGCACACAGCAAGAACTTATGTGAAATCCAGGTCCTTTTAATTAAAATGGTAGTTTACAAAATCCTGTCCTAACTCAAACTGTACTTCCTAACATGGATTATCTGGTCGCCCTAGTAAATACGAACTTCAAGTTAAATACTTATTTAACCTAAACACTTCAAGGTGGAAGACAATGTAATGGATATCTACGAAACCCTAAACTAAATCATGCATAATGCAGTCAGTAATCACCAGAGACAGAAAAGTTAATTGGGGACATCAATCAAATTTGAAGTCCTTGATTAGAAAGACACGGAGTATTAAAGGATGTCTGTGAGTTCAGTGTAGATGGAGGAAACAGCTGCTTCTCGTACCTGACACCAGACGCTGTTGCCTTCCTGGGTGAACACATCCTGTCTGCAGGTACGACTGACACAGTGCCTGATTCCCGCGTCTGCACGAAGGTGCAGACCCCCACAGCTGTCTGCGAAGATCAGAAAGCGCCTGGATCGTCAAACGGGCCGTATTTATGCACCCATGTGGCTGCGCCGTGAAGGAAAGTGGTCAACTCAAAAACACACAAGCCTCCCTATTGGAGGGACTCAAACCGGTGATGGGCTGCCCCCCTCTGACTCATCAGCGCTTGGCGGTTTGGCAGCCAGGGAGGTCGTGCCTTAAAAGGCCAGACGGCCATGGAGGCAGGAGAGCTGATAACGGCACTCTCACCACAATAGCAGCACGGCCGCTGAGTGAAAACAGACTTTTCAGCAGTTAGACACTTATAAATCATCTTCAGGGCTCATTATGTCTCGCCTTTTTACACTGAATTCTGGGTAATTTTTCATCTCAGCACGACGTGAAACCGAATTTTGAATAAGCAGAATGCAACTGTCACAACCGTCAGCTTTTTCAAACTGCTGACTGGCCACTTTATTAGCTTTATTAGCTATATTGCTAGTACCGAGCTAGTCCCGCTATTCCCATCAGAACAGTCTAACTTCTTTGTGGCACAGATTCAGCAAGGTGCTTCAAACATGCATCAAGGACCTTGGTCCATGTTGACATGACAGCATCATGCAATTCCTGCAGATTTGTCGGCTGCGCCTTCATGACTCGACTCTCCCGTTCCACTACATCCTAAGCATGCTTTACTGGATTGAGATCTGGTGACTGTGGGGGCCATTTTAGTACAGTGAACTCATTGTCATGTTCAAGAAACCAATTTGAAATGATTCGAGCTTTGTGACATGGTGCATTATCCTGCTGGAAGTAGCCAGTAGAAGCTGGGTACACTGTAGTCATAGACTGATGGAGATGGTCAGCAACAATACTCAGGTAGGCTGTGGCATTTAGATGATGCTCACTTGGTACTACGGGGCCCAAATGTGCTGAGGAAACCCCCCCCCCCCCCACACCATTACACACCCCACACCATTCAAGGCTCATCTAACCAGGCAGCATTTTCCTGTTACACATCATAGGAGAATTCTCCTATAACGTACCGGTATGTCTCAGTAAACTACCCGCTGGCCCGGTTTATAAAAATCAAATTGATGGCAAAATTATTACAATTGTCTTTTGGCAAAGGGAGCACTGAGAGAGGCAATAATCTCACCTTTTTAATGTTTATAATTAATGGCAGCGAGGGGTGTTTGTTTTAGCAACATGCTAACATCTTCACCATGACTAATTCACATTCATGGAATCAATTTGGTCTGTCAGTAGGGAAGGCCGTTGGGGGGGGGAGGTGGG